TTTTGAGTAAACCAGAAGTTTTGAATCTCCAATCGTTGCAAATTAAAAAAATAATGTGTATTTCAGTTTGTAAAATAAGAAAATGATTTTAAGATAACTTGTTTGTATCACATTTTGAGATAACTTGATGTGTCATATAAATGATTAATTTTTTTTATTTAAGTGAGACTCATAATATTAAATGCATCCACTCATTTAATGACATATAAAATTTACATTAAAAAATTTAAAAAAAAAGTTATCCTTGTATAACTACCTAGTAAAATAAAATGAATATATCACGTCTCTCTCATTCATGTCCTTACAGTGACCAAATCAAATTTTTGAGTACAGCCATTCAACATGTATATACTATGAGATGCTTCCAGCCCTCCTCATATGGAGCTTTCAAAAATTGGTGGGGAAGTTGGGGCTCATTAAATTCAAAAATTATGGCCAAAATGGCTCATAAAGTCAATATCTATAACTGTTACAATGCCCCACTTTCTTAATTAACCTTGTCCTCAATCTTCTGCTGAATCTGCTCCCATGGAGATCCCCAGTGAAACACACAGAAGTAGGCCAACCCATATCACCCAACTCAAACTACCATCCAAATAAGCAACGCATCTTTCTCTTCATCTATAATTTTATCACAAAAAAATTCACATCCCAATCATTTCAAACTATAATAAAAACAAAATTTTCTTCCAAATTAGGATCTACTTGCACAGTAATTATATAAACCTTTTGCCAATGATTAGTATTATTTAGATTTTGAAATTGATGATTGGCAATTAGTAATGAGACTTAAACGAGTTTAACCTCAGGCAAATTTAGCTATTCTCTTCTTTTAATGAGAAAAAGGAGGAGTGCTTTCTAGGGAGCTAATTTCCACAACCAATAGTGCCACTGTTGCATGCATTCTTTTGAATTTTGGACTTAGCTAATGTGACTTTTTCTTATCCTTGTTTTTGGTGGTTTCATTTCATGATCACGGGAGTCAACTTTTTGTCAACAATCACTTTTTGTGATTGGAAAACATGTCGAAGCATGTTTTGATTTTTAACCCCAGAGAATTGGGAATATATACGTGTGCCGCACCCAATACAAAAAGCTGTTTTCATTAAAATTCTCAAAATGTGTTCTATATTAAATTGAGAAGCATTTCATGGTAATGGATTCCATAAAGATACATAATATAATAGTGTGGGAATTGCAATATTATTAGATCATTATATCATCCTTTGTAGAATGATTCTGTGGGCATCTGTCTGTTCTATTTTTTCCATCATTTTTTTCTTCGACATTTTTTATTCTGTACTTGAGGACCATACATGTTGAATTTTTTTATGAATCAAATCATTACAAATGGTAGTGTGTCACGTACACATTTTTATGGAATGGATCTCTTCGCACATGGCTACAGAAAAAATACATCTTACCATATATAGTAACCAAGAATATGTTGTCTTTCTGTTTAAAAATAATTGTAATTATTTACTTTAAATTTATAATTGTTGTTTATTTTTTAAAATAAAGATATATTCTTTATTTTAAATTTATTATTACTTTCTTATTTTAATTATTCATTTTATAAAAAAAAATTCCTTTTCATCTTAAAAAAAAAAGAAAAAAAGTAAAGGCATAAATTTGTGAAAGAAGAAAACTTGGTACATGAATCCAACAAAGGGAAACCGCTGGATGCAAACGAGAAAACCTGTATGCTGCAGTAATTCAATAAGAAGGGTCCAGTCGTTAAAATCTTAAATTCTTATATTGAATATCTAAATTTAAATTTTAAGATAAATGAAAAAGAGTTTTAAAAAATTATTTTTTATTATATAATATAATTTATCATTTATTGTACTAAAAAAAATCTAACAAAAAGAGGAAATCTCTCGATTCAAAAGAAACAATTAGAACATCAATCAAGTAACAGTCGCGGAGAAAAAGGAAAGAGATCAAACCCGTCATCAATCAAGAAACGGTGATCAAGAAAAATGAAAGTATATAATAAAATTAAGATTAAATGTTAAATTTGGTTCCTCAACCTTAAGAAATAAATATTTTTTATCTCTCAATAATTTTTTACACTTTTTTTATCCCTCAACTCTAAGAAATGCACATCGTTAATCCTTCTGTTAATTTGAGTCGTTAATT